AATTAGAACTATCCCCCCCCCCCCCCAAATAATAGTTATGAATGATTCATCAACATGCAAAGAAAATTAAATTTAACACTGCCTGTGTTGACAGTGAAAAATTCAACTATGCAACTATGCAAATATTAGTATGGCAACTGATTCCAGATCATCAAGTGTCTTTTAACTATGTAGCCTACTAAAGTTTTAATGAATCACTTGATACAATGCACTTATTGTGTACATACATTTTACTTAGTATTAACATTTAAAAAACCACCGGCATAACTACATGACATTCATTTGTGTAATTACATTTATAATTACACTGCTAACCCTACATTCCTTCCCCTCAACTCACTCTTTATTCTGCCAGTCTTCCACCTCAGTAGTCATAAAAGTGTTTTGCAATACAACATGGAGACATCCAGTAATAATTAGTGAAAAAAGTAATTAAAGACACCTAATACTAAATGGGACCCTGATTCCTATCCCTATCTTATTTTTAATGAATTACTATAAGTTTTAATTTCAACTGTTTTCTTAATGAGCTTTAACACTCAATGATATGAGTCCAGCAAACTATTCTGAAATCGTGTTGCTTGTAACTTTAAAATGGGGTGTTACACTACTGGGGTCAAAGTCTCAGCAAGCCTCACAGCACTGGACTATGACTTGCTAAAACATCAAACTTGTTACAGCTGTTTAACTCTAGAGCAGAAGCAATGGAGATTCCAATATTTACTGTTGATGCTTTTACTAATTTACCTTTCAAAGGTAATCCTGCTGCAATATGTCTTATAGAGAATGTAAGTATTACTCTGCACAAGATAGTTTTATGTTTTTTAGTTTCTGATTGTTTAAACATGTTAGCAACTGTGAAGATCAGAATGTGAAATGTTTCTCTGTAATACATCCAGGAGCTGAGAGATGATCTTTATCAGAGCATTGCTGCTGAGATGAATTTATCAGAGACTGCTTTCATCACAAGACGGAATTCTATGGATTTCTCCTCAGGTATTCTGCTGCTGAGATGCATGTTGAAATACTCAAACAACTCTGATTTACATGTCTGCTTTTGGTTTTGATATATTTTGAAAGGTTCAAGGTTTGGATTACGCTGGTTTACTCCCACAAATGAGATTCCACTATGTGGACATGCAACACTGGCCTCAGCAGCAGTGCTCTTTTACCTGAAAAGTAAGAAACACTTGTTCTTAAATTAATCTTTTACCAAAGACAATGGACTGTGACTATTCTAAAATCACAATATCATCACACAGAAAATGTCAACCCTGTACTGGTGTTTGAGACTATGAGTGGGGATCTTTATGTGCGCCAGCATGAAGAATCTCTAATAATGGACTTTCCCTTAAACAAACCAAACCCCCAGGTATGACCAAAGCACATCTTGTTGACCCTTCCTTCATATAGTCTCTCATGATTAATACAGTAGTGTTTCTTGGTCTGAATCTATTGAGTTTTGTCTGTTTTATTTGCAGGATCAACATGAAATCAAGGATCTTTTGAAAGTAAGTTAGCCAGCAAGTAATTTAGGGTTTTAATACGACAAAGGGAAAAACAAGCATTTATGTGCATTTTCAGGCCGTAGTAGGAGATGTACCCATTCAGGAAGTGTGCTACAGTCCAACCACAAGGAAACTGATGATTCGTCTGGCTGACACATGCGACAGGTACTGCTGGACATACAGAGGCTGAATATAACAAGGAAGAAAATGTTAATTAATTTATTGCAAGTTTGTCAAGTACATTTTTAAAGCAACAGTCAAGACAAGAATTAATAGTATGTTGGTAATTCTGTCTAAAATGGCAGTTTATTTTTGTATCTAAATCATTAAGCAAGGTTGTTGAATGTTTGTTGTTGGTAGATCTGAACTAACATCTTTGAAGCCTGAAGCAGAAGCTCTGCTGAAAAATGAATCCACTGGGAAGATTAAAGGTGTCATTGTTACAGTGAAGGGAGCTCCAACCGCACAACCTGGATATGACTTCTATTCCCGTTACTTTGCTCCTTGGGTTGGGATCCTTGAAGATCCAGTCTGTGGTGAGCTGAAATTATCACATCATTCTCAAAATGCAGCACCCTACAATACAGGAGGAGAAATCTGTAGAAGGTTCCATGTTTTAATGTAAAGCCATGAATTCTAATAGGTTATAAATGGAAATGCACAATTATAGTCATCATAATTTTCATATGAATTTGTTTTGTGCTTTTAAAAGACTAATAATTATTTCTCAAAGGGTCTGCGCATACAGTTCTTGCTGCCTACTGGTCTGAAAAGCTGAACAAAAAGAAAATGTTGGGTAAAGGCCTTTTTTTTTTTTTCCTGCACTGGTGAATCAAAGGAAATTCATAATGACATTAGTTCACATGAATGACTGAATTAAACCGTTTCTCAAAAAGCTTAAATAAAATGCACAATAAGGTTCTATTCTGTCCTATTTTGTTTTTTCAGCCTACCAGTGCTCCAGTCGTGGGGGAGAGCTGGGGCTGGAGGTTAGGGATGATGGTCGACTCAACATCAGTGGTCAGGCACAGATCGTTCTTCAGGGAACTCTGAAAATCTAGACAACCTATAAAACCTTTTCACTGAATGTGTTAGTAGTTTAATGGAAATAAGTCCATTTTCTGATGTTTCATTCACTGAATGGGCAAAATAGAATAAAAATTATTTGGTTTTAAAAGTTTGTAAATCTGAATGGATGTTTTATACATTTTATTGCAGAATATTAATAAAATTGTCTGTTGGGCAGAGTAAGGCTAGATCTTCTGATACTGATCCAGGATGCAGCAAACCAGGGTTACAGTC